GGAATGTTGGGTATAAGCAAGGTTATACAAGGGCTAACTATGGCCTCGTTCACACCATATATTGTGTGCGTTCCGGTCCGATTCTGGCCGGAACACACTGCCTCGCATTGTGGCTGGCTCACTTTTTTGTCGGGCATGAGGGGACATGGCGGGCCATTGAAGTGAGGTGCGATCAAAATGCTGCAAGTACTATTTTGATTGCAACGGACCGGACTGCAGGCACAATGTGCTTTGCGATCCCGTGCGGGCGATCACATTGCGGGCGATCACATTGCGGTCGGAGGGCGTGGCTACCGTGCCTCCACTTCAATGGCCCGCCACGCCCCCTCCTGCCTGACAAGAAAGTGAGCAGACCGCAATGCGAGGCAGTGCGTTCCGGCCAGAATCGGACCGGAATGCACTGCATCTGGTGTGAACGAGGCCTTAGAGCATTTATTTTTGCCAGTGTCCCTATTTCCTGTAGGCGGCAGGATACCCCAGCTGTTTCTCAATTCCTATGTCTCTCAATCTCTCAATAGACTCGAAATAATAGATTTTGTAGTAAGCACAAAAAAGAAATCATATTTTGCTCCATTGCAATTTCCTACCTCTGTCTTCCTCAGTCCGTTTATGATAAAGTATTGTGCACAGGTATATGCCTGCATCCGTAGTACAGTGAGTTCTGGGACAAAGACAGTGGCAGCTTGCATCCCTGTTTGGGAGCTTACTTTGTGATTTACCGTCAACATTTAATGTGCAGGTTTCCTTTAACCCCTTCATGACTGAGCTAGTTTTCAGGTTCTGTTCATAAATGACTGACACATTTTTTACATTTTTGCTGTGTGATTCTTCCACAGCAGTAATATACTTTCTTACTAAATGTACCCACACATATTATATATTGTTTTTTAGAGGACAGATAGGGCTATATAATTATATCACATATGTGTACCTAACCCCTCACTTAGTTTGAATAAAATAAAAAAATTAGGAAAAAAACTAGAAGAAAACACTTTTTTCACAAGTTTTGATTATTATTTTTTTTTTAGAATTTTTTTATATTAATTATAGTATAAAAAATATATTTATATATAATTTATATTTTCCTAATTTTGTTTT